CGGGAAGAGCTTACAGCAGTCTGCCTGCCTGCCCTGGCCCCGCGCCAGTCCCAGAAGAGGCTGGCTGCTGGCACATCTCTGCATGCCCCTGACAGGGAGGAGGCAGCTCCGCGCGCTGCCCCAGCCCCCAGCACCGTCCTCACAGCTCCCATTAGCCAGGAACCAGCCAATGGGAGCTGCGGGGGCGCTGCTTGCAGGTGCGGGCAGCGCAGGGAGACCCGCTGCCCTCCTCCCCCCGAAGGGCACACAGAGACGTACCAGCAGCCAGCCGCTTCCGGGAGCGACGTGGGGCCAGAGCACTGCTGAGCTGCTGGCCGGGAGCCGCCTGTGGTAAGCACCTCCCGGGTAAGGCCTGCACCTTGCACCCCCTCAAAAAACAGCTGCCCACAAGAGGGCAGCCAAAGAGCCGCATGCAGCTCGGGAGCTGCAGGTTGCCAATCCCTGGCCTAACACAATGATATCCTGGTCTGTGATTAGAGCTTCTAGGCACAACACAATAGAAATGATTAATAATAACAGGAAACGTTGAGTCATTTCTCTCTTGTACTCATATAGGATAATTCCTCACTATAGAAAAGGCCACCAGTAACTGGCATTGATACTCATGTCCCAGGTCCCCACTGCAGTTTCCCTATTGACTGCTTGGCCCAGGGACTAAATCCTTTCCTGAGACCTTCTGTCAATCAAGCAATTAAGTAATTTGATTTTAGTTTGATTGATAAATGCAACACCACTTCATTTTTTTAAAAATTCCAACAGCCCTTAGTGACTGGCAGTTCCAAATAAACACTATTAATAAATCATTATTCTGTAACTAAAGACCAGGCTTTCAGGAATACTTGCCAATTGCCTACCGCAGGAAATCTCTCAGGAATATTTGTCATTCTCACAGTTACAATGCAACAGAAGAGCAACTCTTTGAGACAGCTAAGCTAAAGCATGAGGAAAAACAGGAGCACACTGGTTTAGGGACTGGTAGTAACCAGTGTTTCTGTATTTGCACTAAGAATGCAAAAAAGCAGAAGAAAATTACTTACAGCCTCAGTTCCCTAATGAGCATTCAATGGAGTGTAACAAGAAAAGATTTGCTGAAACTACCAGGAATAAGAAATGGGAGAAATGAAAAGGAATAGACAATGTGATGCCTTTTTACCTCCCACCTCTGCCTACAGGTGTCAGATGAGGCCCGAAATGTCATTCATGTAATAATACCATATCTGGTCGAAAGCAGTCTCAGCACAACTGATCTGATTGTGTGCTAATGGCTGGGAAAGCACGATAAGGAATGTGCACAATAAAAAGATCTGCCCCTTACAGTACTGTATTAGCAGATGGGGGTGATTTATTAGATAATCTTAAACTGCTTGATGGTGCAGGGTTTTTGTTGTTGTTACAGGTTAACCCCAAATGTCAACTTGGACGTGGAGTAATTAAAGCATCTGCTGTCAGCCTTATTTCTGGTTACCTGAACACCCACTGACTTGTTTGAGAGAGGTTATTAAATCTTGGGATTCAGGATGAAAGGTATTCAGAGAAGCTTTTCTTCTTTGTCAGTGTCTATTGTCAGAGACTACACTTTGTATGCATCCTCTTTGCTGAGAAGATGACAATTGACTCAGAGATAGTCAGCAACTACATTTTGGTTCCAGCAACAATTTTTCAAAAAATACATAATGGTTATTGTTTCTAAGGTAGCCAAGAGACTACAGGAGTCTGGTTGCCAACTATCAACACAGCAGAAAGGTAGTTAGTACCACAGATGCAAGAATACCTGGAGCCACCAGGTCTCTGGAGAGCAGCATACTTCCTCATCTGTCTCAATGTTTCAGAAAATCTCACTAGAGCTGTTGCATCCCCCACTCCCCTACCCAATCACCCTCTTGCTTGAGGCCCATCGCATAAAACATATAACAAATTACTTACCCTGCATACTTCATCCCAAAGTATTTGCTCTCCAAACCATTGTTTTCACCTATATGGAGGCTAAACTTATCAACACCTTCAACATCCATTGAATACAATTGATTTCAATGGTAGTGGAGGCTGCACAGCACCAACAGAATTAGGCCCATGTTGAACACAGATCCCAGCTGAAAGACACTCCATGAGATATCTTTCCTACTCTAGGATTAAGCAAAACAAAACAGAAAAATAGTTTTCCAGCTTGGTAAGATTTCTCAAACCAGCTGATACCAATTCCAATGTAAATGCTTAGTTTGTCAAGGTGTGTACAATGCTCTAAAAAGACAATCTATCCAAAGTGTGAAGTATTGTGATGAGTAACTATGCACAAATTTGACAAAGTTACTGAAAAGAAAACAAAATGCAACACCTTGCTCTGAAATATGGGTATGAATGGAGATATTTCTAAACTGCAATAGAATTGGAGCTGCTCTGTAATAATTCATGAATATTAGATGTTATCAGGATATTTACTGTATGAATATGTTGGTTTAGAAATAGGGGGGTTGTCAGAGAAAAACAAGGAGAAGGAGTACAGTGTCTCAAGATAAACCACCGCTTGATAAATACTTTAGGGTTATTAAGAGACAATGCTGGACATGAAAACACCCTGGAACACAAGATGAAAAGGACTCTGGCAGTTAAAAAGGGACTCTCTCAAGTGAGAGGGAGGCAGTTGTTGACCGAGACACACACTGGGGGCCTGAAGGAAATTAGGCCTGCCTAAGTGATCAGGGGATGGTACGCCTTAGGTAAGACATGAGTGTAGACAGTTCGTTGTTTTAAAACCCTTTTTTGCTAAATGTTTTGTTTTTACCGTGGTAAAGAAAATAATACTTTTGTTTTAGGAAGACTGTCTGGTCACTATGCATACCACTGATCACAGACTGCCAAAGGTAAGAACCATAGATGCTGAACCCAAGTGTATTTGCTGGGTAAGCAGGGTTGATGCACAGGGTACTGTAGCCCAGGGTCTAGTCCAAGAGTGGGAGAACTGAGGAATTCCACCCCAGGAGGGGGAGAAGCACAAGGCCTGACACCTGAGGGGATGCACTTAGAGAGACCACAAAGGGGACAGAGGTGCAGCTAGTACTGCAATCCAGACAAATATATTGCCCAAATTCTTCCCAGATCAACATGTATATATGCTGTGGTTTGGCTTGGATAACCCTATTATATATTCAAAATCTGAAAGATGTTGGTTTCCTTCAAAACTGTTAGTATAATTTCAATACCTCACTTCAGCAAATGTGGCCACTTAGGATTTTATGATTGCTATGCGGTACAAGATGGCTGCTCAGAACTTTATAGAATCAGATGGGATAATAATTGTACAGTAGAATCGGAAGTATGCAATCAGGTAGCAGCAGAGACAAAAAATAAAAAAAGCAAATGCAGTATAGTACTGTGTTAAATGTAAACTACTAAAAAAAAAGGGAAAGTTAAAAGTAAAAAGATTTGACAAGGTAAGGAAACTATTTCTGTGCTTTTTTTTCATTTACATTAAGGTGGCTAAAAAGCAGCAGTTTTTTTCTGCATAGTAAAGTTTCAAAGATGTATTAAGTCAATATTCAGTTGTAAACTTTTGAAAGAACAACCGTAACATTTTGTTCAGAGTTACGAACATTTCAGAGCTGCAAAAAACCTCCATTCCCAAGATGTTCGTAACTCTGAGGTTCTACTGTATTCCAAAAGCTAAGGCCCTACCAGTTGAGCTACAGGAGAATCTTGGTTTAGCTGTAGGAGTGTACAGTGTAGTATATTTAGCAATCCTTTCATTATTGCTGAATCCTAGCCAGGATTAAAGGACACCTTATGTGATTAAATGATTTATGAATTAGAAAGCCAGAAAGGAGAGCCGGCATTCAGCAGCCTGAATAAAGAATTATCTAGACATTCATTACAACTGAGAATTGTCTCTTCTGTGATGCTACCTGGAGCAAAAAGGCTGTAACACACAGATAAGCAGTTCTGATTCGATTCAGTAGAAGCCAGTGGTGTACACATGCATGAACGTAAGTACGCGCACACACACACACACACAGTGAGTTTATCACAGTGTGTAATTATCAAACATTTTGCCATATCTATCCATCTCTAGCTGCTTATGTCACTATCCAGAGAGAGAGAGAAGATGCTTTCTCCGAGTCATACAGTGCTTTTCTGCTCTGTCTGATCATATACTATCCCAGCCTCACTTTACTTCTGGCAAAAACTGCATTCCCCTTAATAACATTATGAACCTCATCCTGTATCATCAAAAAAGTACCCTGAGGTAATCTTATTCTTGATTAAAGGAGTTATAAAACTGCAAAGTCTTGTTATGTTTAAAAACTAAATACCCTCATTTCCTCATTAACCAGTCTACTCACCTGCATACAAAATTCTAGCCAAGGTGAGATACGAAACCCAGAACTTTGGCAGTGCTAGCGGGTCGGTTATAACTAAGATGACTGACGTCACCATGAATTAGCGGTTTTACAGGGAAGTAGATGATACTATTAGTTTAGAGGATGCAAAAGTAATCCTGGGCTCATATATTTTTGGAACATTATTTTATTGTTTCTATTTAGAATCTATGTCCCAGGTTGGAACAGGTAACTACACAATAATCTTGTTTTCTTTTCAATTAAGAGATTTTGCAGGGGAAAATCAACACAAAACAAAAAAACAACAACAAACACCACTGGAATTATATATCCTGATTTGTGCTAGCAAGCAGAGAAAAGTAGCAGAGGAAAAATGTGTGGTAAATAGAATACAGATGACAATTTTTTTCTTTTCATTTAAAAAAACTACTTTATATGTCGAACCAGCACATTTTAAACTTGTATATATTATTGTCTGTAGGAATGGCTAGGTAGGGAATTCATAATTGGTTACTTAGTCAATTCCCACTTAGCTGTCTTATAAAAACTTGGTATATGCACCAAGGAGTTTCTGTGAAAATGAAACCCTGCAAAATAACTGAACCAAAAATTAGATGTGTCACATTTTAATAAACAATGGTGTCTAATTATGGAAGAATATGTACTTACTTGCCCAGCGCAAAGCACTCCATCTTAACGGTAGTTCCCTTAGCAGCTGTAACTGTGTAAGGAAAATGGACCTCAATTTTCGGCTCATATTCCCCCATCACACCTGGGAAATAAAAAATGGTCTTTAAAAATAAAATGAATGTCACTGCTTCTTTCCAAACCTGAGACTTTATTGTGAAAACTACTGTGGCGTGATTGTTAATAGCTATACAGCGATAAAGCCTGTGGTGGGGGGAAATAACTTACATTAGTTTGACTTGCTCTGCTCAAATCCTATTCATCCCCTTTTCGATGGTATCTTCAGTGCTCTTAAAACAGCAGCACTTTTAAAAGAAAAGATTTATTTCCTCAAATATGGGTTCAAATTATATTTCAAAAGATTGCCATGTACAATCAATTCTGGAGGGTTGGGAAATTTCGTGTACAAGAGCTTTGTCCATTTAATGATGCAGGGTGGTTAGAATGGATAAATCAACCAAAAACTTAGCACATATCCTCTTAGCCAGACAATATAAGATGTCCTTTTATATCAAGGACATCCTGACATTTGTAAGAAAGCAGTCAAATGATGTGAAAGCATGTGTCTTTCCCATCGAAAATAATGTACAAACTCACAAAGCCCTCCTAAAATTTCAGATGCATGGCTATCATTATTTATTTAAATGCTGACAATGTGCTCAGTGTTGTTAAAGAAGTACAGTAAAGACATTCTGGGCCTCTTAATAAACTATATATTGGAATTGATGGAATTACTCCAGGTATAACTGACAGCAGAATTTGACTTGCAAGAGGAATTGAGAGAAGTTAAGGAATGGGAAATGAGAGCAGTAAATGGAGAAAGATTATGTAAAGTGAGGTGAGGAGTTTTAATGTGATATGACTCAAAGACTGAGGTTGTGACAGAGTGGCTGGCGAGGAGTATGACTTTAACAGTCGTGGTTTAGTGAGATTGCAGATATGGGTTGGGGAGGGAGATAGCTGAGAAATGGGGAGGCCAAAGGGGAAAGCTACACTAACCACGTTAGGATTGCTCAAGGAATGGACAAGTTTCTTGATCGTGGGGAAATTGAGGAAAAAGGGAATTTAGGTGGTTATCAAAGATGCAGCAGTAATAGGACTAAGGGGCTGGTCCAAAGCCCATGGAAAAATTCCCACTGAATTCAAGAGTGGGTAATAGGAGCCGGGGGAGGCAAAACAAGGAAACAAAAGAGGGATATTGAGGGAGAGAAAGAATGGGAGATACAGAGAGAAGAGAAAGGAGAAGAGCATGGAAGACAAAGAGAGTGAACCTTGCAGAGGGGAGAGAGAGAGGGAGAGAGGTAGAATGGCAAGAGGTGGTTGGAACAAACAACCAATTTGCAGAGAGAAAATAATGCCTAGAGTTTGAATGGTAAAAGCCCTTTACTGATGTCACTGATGTCACAGGGTGTAGGGCAAGGGGCTCCAGCTGGGTCATTATTCTGTTGCTGTAATTGACTATTGTCCCTGCAGCTCCCAGTGGCTGGCTCTATTTCTGGCAGGTCCTGCTTTGTGTCTCCTCTATCCATGTGGTATGGAGTTAGGGAGAGTTGCTGGGGCCTGATATCCCTGCAGAGTACATGTGATTTTACTAATTGTGTTAGGAAATGTGTATTTAAATTCATTTTGGGAGCCTAGTGTTAGTTAGAATACTTGAAGACTTCTGATATGTGAATAATAGCAAGGAAAGTATATCTTCTATCTAACTGAAAGAAAGACATACATTAGTGGCATCAATTGTTCTTGCATACACCACACCCAGACAACTTAATTCCATAATGTTGCTTTATGAATAGCACTGGATTGCTTTTCACTAAAATATATTTATATACAACCACACCACCCATATGCTGTACTCCTTTCAAAATTCACAAGCTAAATAGGGCTGAAAAGGGAAGTGTTATTTACCCCTTCGCATAACACAAGAACCAGGGGGTCACCCAGTGAAATTAATAAGCAGAAGGTTTAAAACAAACATAAGGAAGTACTTCTTCACACAACACAGAGTCAACCTGCAGAATTCATTACCAGGGAATGTTCTGAAGGCCAGATCTATAACTGGGTTCAAAAGAGATTTAAATAAATTAATGGCTATTAGCCTAGATGGTCAGGGATGCATCCCCATGATCCAGGTGTCCCTAAACATCTGACTGCCAGAAGCTGGGGATGGAAAATGGGATGGATCACTTGATAAATGCCCTGTTCTGTTCATTCCCTTTGAAGCATCTGGCACTGGCCACCATCAGAAGATAGGATACTGGGATAGATGGACCATTGGTCTGACCCAGTATGGCCATTCTTATGTCCTGACATTCTTATGAGTTAGCTCAGTGCTTGAATGGGAAACTGCTAATAAATATTTAGGTACTGCAGGAAGTGATGTTGATACATTCTTGTCTCTAAATAAGTACTGAATCAATGTCATGTTCTCTGTGTATATATATATCTATATATATATATATATATCTTTCTACTGTATTTTCCATTGCATGCATCTGATGAATTGGCTTTTAGCCCACGAAAGCTTATGCTCAAATAAATGTGTTAGTCGCTAAGGTGCCACAAGTACTCCTTTTCTTTTTGTGGATACAGACTAACATGGCTGCTACTCTGAAACCTGTCCCAGCACAGTTTTATAGGCACTATGCTGTTGTAGAGAGACTGTCTTTTGTATCAGTGCAAAACCAAGGTCTTGACCCCTTGCAATAATAAAAGATTCAGTGCTATTTTTGCAAAAGTATGAACATTAATTCCAGTGTGCTGGCCAAATTCCAAGAGGGGCAATTAAATGCCAACTAACTAAAATGCTCCTGAATTTGTGATTCTTCACTTTCTGTCCAAAGCTGATTTGTTGTTGTATGCTATTAAACAATTGCCTTGTTTCACTTCTGAAGTGGCTGCACTTTCAAAATGAATGAAATAATCATTGTCTCTCAGTTTGTACAGTGCTTAGGAATCCTTTGGTTTGGAAGATACAACTGGTCAAATTCTGAGGCCCAAATTCAGCCTTCACTCAAACAAACACCCATTAATTGCAACTGCCCTGTGTAAACGCAAGTATCAGATATTTTGTGTTGACACATTCAGGTCATGTCCTAAGGAGATGCTGATCTGTCAATATTTTGTACCATGTCATCTTAATGTCAGTTATTGTAATAAAAACAATGGGTCATCCTGACTGCAGGCACTCACAGGGAGACGCAAGCAGAAGTATTATGCTATCCTTTGTCACTCCACCAGGTTAACACTGTTTGTGAGAGGAGATTGGGAAAAGTAAAGAAAGTCTACTATTTCAAAAGGATATTTTTCATTTTTATTATTTATGATCTTGGAATTCAGGGAGGCTGCTAGATTTGTCTGAGCATCAAAGGCAAATTTATCAAGGCCTTGTTTTTCTATGTTATAGTACAATTGCTCTGTGTGACTGCTGTGCCTCCCTCCAGCTTGTTTTTCTTTCCTATTTCTGTTCTGGTCACTATGATTCAGCAACAGCAATCTAGACAGGATTTGCATTTTCATCTGCAGTTTCATTTCATTTGTATCATAAATGTAGGAAGGTGATAAAATAAACTTGAAAGTTTAACAAATATAGACTGCATATATAATGTGTAAGTCAATCATTTTCAAACTTATAAGCGTGCCTCTTTTTTGGATACTTGTTTAAGTGTTTCCTAAGTCAACTAGACAGCTCTAGTTATCAAATCAGAAATTTAAATCTACACTGTATGTGTGGCTTTGGTATTGCAGGGATCAAAAATTTAATAGCACATACAGAAAAAACTGAAATTCTGAAATGAATAACAGGGAAACTGCAGAGAACACAGGACCCAAATATTATGGTTCAGGAGTAAGATGCACCTATGATTCCTTCTGTCTCTTCATGAGCATTCTTTCCAAGTAACAGGACTCTGTCTGCACTTTTCCCAGAGTTGCAATCCATGGTTCATACCACGTTAGACTGGATCACTAGGCTACAACACCTCATGTCACCAATCATATTTCCCTCAGCTGGCCCAACTGGATTTAGGTCCAGTCATACTCTCTGGGAGCTTGTGACCAATATGAAATGCAGTTGCTCAACACAGCGTATTCAAAAATAGATACGATACATTTATAGAAATGTAACATGCAGAGAGATACAGGTTAAAAAAATCAAAACTTAAACTCATTCTAAACTTAGCTTTCCCTTTTCCTTCTAGTTTGAGCAGGCCTTTGCTTATTCCAGCCCCCTCCTTTTAGGAATGAGGATCAACATTCATCTCTCCTGACATCCTCTGTGTCTCACAGAGTTTCTCCGTTGAGAGCACGGTGACAAATTGGGGGTTGTGTCACCACCTGCTCTGCTACCTTGGGTGCCTCTGTGCTGTGCAGCTTTGGTTCAGAGCCTGACGCCATCAGCCTTCTTATAGCACAATAGCCACACCCTGGCATTCACTAGCCTGGTTACTCCTGGCGGGTTAGCACCAGCACCTTCCCAGTCTTGAGTTTTCTGAAAACCAGTCCTTCTGACTGTCGCACTCACAGAGCCTTACTAAGTTCACTGCTCCTTTAAAGAGACAGTACACACCAACAACTTGTTCATTTAGCTGAGGACTCACACATCCCTTTAATAGACAGCACTGATATGGTCTGTAGCAAAACCAAAAAATAAGTTTATTAACAAAGAACATAGGATTAAGTGATTTCTAGTAAGAGCAGAAGAGAGATGAAAAGTTACAAACAAAGCACACTTTCTGGTGACTTGCTACACACAGCAGCGCTTTCCCTGCGGCTGCCTCCCGGCGCGCTCCATCTGCGATTGCAGCCATGCCCTGCGACAGACAGAGCTAGCGATCCAGAGAGAGAGGAACTGCAGGAAGGAACCTTTGGAACAGCCAAACCTGGAGAAGACTAGGCAGAGGTTTATTGTTATTTAGGGAAAAATCTGAACTATACACACCGGTCATGGTCCAAACGTTCCCTCTTCCTGAGTTTCCCTAAAATAATAACAACCATAAAACTCTCTCCCTCTCTCTTTCTCTCTCTCTCTCTCTCTCTCTCACACACACACTCCATGAGCTGCAAGGTGGGGGGTGCCACCTGCTT